TTTGGAACTATACAAAAGTTCCACAGTAACTTTTATTTAACACTTTCTCCTGGTTGCTACAAATCTTTCCAGGAAGAAAAGGAATCCTTTGAGATGTGCAGTTCACTTATCCTTAATTGTGCTCCTTCTAGATGTTTCCATTCCTGAAAAGCCAAAGCTGAGATTCGTTGAAAGGGTACCACTTGTGCCAAAAGTCAGAAGAGAACCCAAAAACTTACGTGACATACAGGGACCTTCGACGGAAGCTACTGAGTTCACAGAAGGCAATTTTGCGATCTTGGTGAGTTGAGTTCAGCATCAGGCAACTGCAGGGTGGGAGCCAGGGATCAACATAATCTCAGACTCTTTGAGTCCCTGCTTTCACTGGTGTTATTAAAACTGCCACCTGTTGCTCTTTAAACTGATGTGCAATAATCAGTAAATGTTTTGAGTTGTGAATTTTTTTTTAATGTAGAGTAAAAATAACGTAAAAGCAGAGCAAGAAAGAGGCTACCTAACTTACTCCATAATCAGACTATGAGATCTTCTCAGGCCTCTGGAAAAATAAAACTATGCAGTATTTAGGATGTGAGGCAGCTGTTCCCTTACTCAGCGGCTTCCATGAAGGCTTGAATGTCAGTAGCTACACAAATGGGTGTGGACTAGGCTCTATTTGCCATCGGGCAGCCAGAGCGATGTTTTAAAGTCCTTTCCCCACAGCCCACGATCAGCCCCTGCCTGCCTCTCAGAACCTCATGCCCACAGCCCCCATTCCTCACTCTCCTTCAGCCACACTGGCTTCTCCGGCTCATCCAGCCTTCGCTGACACCACTCTTCTGCCTGCAACACTTTTCCCTCCTCCTTTGTCTCATTCTTACTGTTCTGGCCTCAGCTTTGAATGTCACCCCCTCAAAGAGGCCTTTCCTGGCTACCCGTGAAGTGGGTCCACCCTTGTTCTCACTCATTACTCAGTCCTGGGCTTTCCATGGTACTTACTAGAACTCTTATTTTCATGAATACTTTTGAAGGCGCAGTTGCCATAAAAGACCTAAGAACAGAGCCCATAGAAGATATCTAAATCCCCACGTGCTTCTGATTCTTCCATTCACTTTTAGGCACTGGGTGGCGGTTACCTCCACTGGGGCCATTTCGAAATGATGCGCCTGACAATCAACCGCTCCATGGACCCCAAGAACATGTTTGCCTTGTGGCGAGTACCAGCCCCTTTCAAGCCCATCACCCGCAAGGGTATGGGACAGCGCATGGGGGGAGGCAAAGGCGCCATTGATCACTACGTGACTCCCGTGAGGACTGGCCGCCTCATAGTAGAGATGGGGGGACGTTGTGAATTCAAAGAGGTGGAAGGTTTCCTCAGCCAGGTCGCCCACAAGTTGCCCTTCCCAGCAAAGGCGGTGAGCCGTGAGATGCTAGAGAAGATGCGGAAAGACCAAGAGGAGCGAGAACGTAACAACCAAAACCCCTGGACCTTTGAGCGCATAGCCACCGCCAACATGCTGGGCATACGGAAGGTGCTGAGCCCCTACGACCTGACCCAGAAGGGGCGATACTGGGGCAAGTTCTACCTGCCCGAACGCGTGTAGTGAGAATACGAGAAGTAAAGCCACAGGGAGGAGGAGTCTGCACTTGTGTTCCCTCAGCCTGCCCTGAGAGGCCTTGGGTAGCTCCGATGTCAGAACCAAGGAGCAGCGTACAAGCGCTGTGGACGATTTCTGGAAAGGTGTACTGTGTCTGTTTTTTTGAGTGCATTATATTTATATTAAATAAAATTTGAGTATCAGCTCTGGTTATAACTTTTTTTTTTAAGATTTTATTTATTTTTAGAGAGGGAAGGGAGGGAGAAAGAGAGAAACGTCAATGTGCGGTTGCTGGAAGTCATGGCCTGCAACCTAGGCATGTGCCCTGACTGGGAATCGAACCTGCGACACTTTGGTTCGCAGCCTGAGCTCAATCCACTGAGCTACACCAGCCAGGGCGGTTGTAACTTTTCACTGGTCACCCTTAATCCCTCCGATGATGAAGAAGCAGGCCTGCGGGGCTCTCGGGAGCCCGGGCCCTCCCTGGCTGTACGGCGAGGGTCTGCAGGGCTACGGCCGGCGGCTGCCTCTCCCACCTCTGATGCAAGTCGGACTTGATATCCACACCAACTTTCACATGCGCATGTTTCAGAAGCCAGTTTCTGTAACGTTTTACTATTTACAAAAACACACTAATGTTTTTGGGAAAGCAAAGAAAAAAATGACAGTACATAGGTTAATCCAACAGGTATTTATTTATGCCCAGCTACCCATCTTCTCTCAATCTCCGAGGCGGGGACGTTGAACAGTATGTCCAGGAACACACCCTGGCCTCTTAGCAAAAGGAACTGATAAAAGTGGAAATTGTGTGGCCTTGCCCAGATTTGAGGTTCATCGAGGAGGAAGAGTGGCTCTGCTTTTGTGTCCCTGCAGGTCCTAGGCCAGTGCCGTGCGCCACGCCACACTGGAGCAGTGACTGCTGGGTAAATGAGGGCCCCGAAGTTGCAGCTCCCTGTGCCCTTACCAAGATTAAACTATTGTTCAGTAGTAGCTTTCTATCCATTGTTCAAACTAAAGGAAGTACAAATTGACAGAAATATTAAACCACTTGTTTTTGAAAGTGGGTAGACCATACACTGACTACAATGTCAAATGTTTTTATCCCGCTTTCTTTACAAGATCCCCTGCAAAGAAAGTCATTCACTTTCAAAAGTACACATTTATCTCAACAGTTGTGTGGTCCTCAAAAGTTGCATGCTATTTTTAGTGTAAGTTTCATTAACCTCTTGAAATATAATTAATTACTAAATTGCATAGAACAAACATGGACCTTGAATTGGGGACAGTGTGTGGAACAGTTTTGGGGGCACACACTGCTGGCCGACAAAGGTTCAGCTAGCAACGTGCACCAGGGAAAGGGGAGGTGAGTGCGAGTCTCACCTCCCCTTTCCCACCAAACACCTCCAGCTCCTCCCTCACAGCGCACAGTACTGCTGACTGCCGTGAGTCCAACTGCGCTCTAAACCCATCCCTTGTGTTCTGGGTCCATGTTCAGTTCAGTGGACCACCATGCTGGGGCCAAGCATCTTAGCAGAGTGAGAGGCCACCGACAGAAGTCCACCATCACCCCCCACAGAGAGAGGACTTCAGAGTGTAAGTTGCTGTAAGGGGGATCCTGTTTCACTTTTACATAAATAGATCAACCCACTCCAGGCATTTCATGCAGCCTCTGGTACTAACAGACCATTTTCCACTGGTGCCTTAAAGGGGTTGAGAAGCAAACCCAAGGACTTGTCCGTGAGCAGAAACCAGATCTTAACTACAGGTAATGAGGTCGACAGACACTGGAGCGCCTGTCAGCAGCAGGCGCTGTGCTGAGCACAGGACACAGCACTGAGCGCGGCGTGCGTGGTGCCTGCCACTGAGCACTCCCCTCTGAAGGCCAGTGAGGCCTGAAGGAGGAGGCAGACGGGGCCGGGGAAGGGTGAGACCTAGAAGAACCTGAAGGAAGTAACAAAGTGTCCTGACCCTGGTGACCTTGCGGCACTGAACACGAGATCCTGAGGAACCAGGTGTGCTGCCGTGTCTGCCTTCACTTCCTGACCAAGGTGCCTGTGAGCCTGCAGCCCATTCCTGTAAACCGTCTTTCCAACTGGCTGGTGTTTCTGCACTCTGTTCCTTCACGCCTGCCCGCCACCCAGCTCTGCACTGTCATAAGGCTCCCCCTGCACAACTTTCTGTAGGTGGTTGATGGTTGATGCCCTGTGTTGTAGGAGGTTTGGTAATGGAAAGGGGAGTCGCTGTTGAGGAGTCCGCAGTGGGAAGTGATGGCACCACCGAGGTGGAAGGAGGGTTAAAACTGCCCGTCGTGGATCCAGCTGCGAGGGCTACAGGAGATAACAGAAAAGTGGAGGGGAAAAATCAAATATTACACAGCAAGGTGTTCGAGATAGGGATCACTAACCCCTTCCTGCAGAGGCGAAAGGCTACTCACAAGGCTGCGTTAATCTGTCCTAACCTTGTAATGGAGGAAATATGTTGACATCCGGTTTGCTGTGTGGCCCTCTTCCAAAGAGTTCAGGGTGCTTCTAATGCAAGAACCAATTCTTCATCCTTTGGCCACTCCCAGGTGGCATGGCCCAAATTTTGCCACCAGAGCTCACCACCCTTATACAAGGCATTCTGCCACCAGACCTGGTGCAACACAGGTCGCCACCTCTGTCTCCCTGTCTGCCTGCTACCAACTCATTCCTCGCTCACTTTTCTCACTAGGAAGCGTCTCTTCTAACACCCGATCCTGCCCGCCGGATTTGGGCACCTGGTGACAGACAGCGAGTGCCCGCAGGACACGAGCGTGTCAGGTAGACGAAGGCAGGCCTCACCCTCCCCACAGACCGCTCACCTTTTTCAGGCAAATATGCCCCCAAGGGTAGAAGCTAAGATGATCGCAAGGATGACACAGCAGATCATGATCATGACCTTCTTCTGTTTATCCAGACGAGGAAAGAAAAAGCACAATGAGAGATAACATCCCCGTGCAGGTCCAGGTCCTGGGGAAGGGAGGCAGCGTGGGTCTGGACGTGGGACGGGACACGAAGGAGAGGGGAGATGGATCTGGCTTCTAGAGCCCGGGGTGCGGGAATGTGACTTCCAGCTGAGAGATCCCGTCGGCAACCCTCTCCGACGACAGTTTCGTGTGCCCCGCAGTCTAGACACTGTCACAGCGATTCACCCCATTGCCCCCGGAGCCAGTACTGTCAACGAGGGGGCCAAATTCTTCTGGGGGGAGCACTCAGCCCTGCAACTCAAATATGGTTACACCGCACTCCGAGAGTCGAGCCATTTTCAAAAACTAGAACTTTTGATCCACCTGAGCCAGCACACGTTTAAAAAAGATTTAAACCCCTTTTCCAAAACCTAAACAAAAGCCACCACATGGTGGCACCCAATCACTACGTGCTTTGCAGGGAAATAGAGCCAGAACTGTTTCACAATCAATATAAAGTCATTTATTTTTAAATAGCAATAAAATAATCAAGTTTACATTTTTAAAAACATACAAACAACAAAACTCTTCACTTACTGTATTCCAAACTACGAGCCCTAGACCTCCATCTCAACAGAGCAAAAGCCTGTGATCAGAGCTTGTCTGGCCTTGCTACAGGAGCCAGACGGCAATCGACTTCACAGCCAAGGGCGCGAGGGCGCCCCCTGGGCTCCGTCTGGGTGTTGGGCGATGACTGGGAGTAAGCAGCCTTTGCAAAGGAAGCCAGTGGGCAGAGCCTGGGTGAGGGTACACACCCCGTCTTAGAAAGCATTAAAATCAATGCTGAAATATATTAGTAAATCCGACTGGCAGGGACCAGTGGGGAATCAAAAAGACTCACCACTGGGCCAGCAGAGTCACTACACTTGAAAATGTCCTGGCTGTTGCTTTGCTTTCTCCCTGACAAGAACTTGCAGGCGGCGGGGGGAGACACAAAGAACCTGTCAAGCTCACTAACCCTGTAGAAGGAAGAGCTACTCAGTAGTCCCTGGTGTCCCCCAGCTGACTCAGCCCCGGAGAGAAGGAATTCCGAAGGTCACACAAGTGACACCAAATTGCTCTGGGATGTTCTCAGGGCAAGCCCAGCCTCAAGAGTGGGTAGGGGGAGGTGTCAAAGCGTGGCAAGCCTACCTGCTAGGCAGACAGACTTAATGGAGATCAACTTAGTCCTCACCCCAAAGGTCTAAGATTCTCCCAGGACTCATACAGAACCAGCAGGTTTCTCGATGACGTGGGAAGAGCGTATCACTACTGTGATTCATTTGCAGGTAAGCAAATGTCTCTTAACCTAATTTTTAGCCTAGATCAGGGTTATTCTGTGAGGTTAGAATGTCCTCCACGTCTAGCTTCCTACTTCGTGAGAGACACATGAACATATTTACATCACACAGAATGACAGAAATTCCTCTGGAACACGTGAAATGACTGACTGAAGGCTGGCACCAGTCTGAATGAAGCACTTCCGGAGCCGGAGACTCGAGCACCTTGTCCCTGGCCCAACTTTAAGTGTCAAACATCATTGTTTAAAAGCAAAGCATATTTGGCTTCAAGGCAGCGGCTTCACAAAGCACGACTCTAACACCGAGCAACCAGTTTCCAAGACTTGACCGTGAAAAGCAACACCCCTCACTCTCCACCTCTGCGAAGGGTGCCCTCAGACGACAGCATCGCGCTGGCACCGCCGAAAGTAAACGTGAGAGCATCGGGGGTGGGGTGGCCGCCAAGCTGAACATACTGAGCTTAATTGAAGGCTGAATTTCAAACAAGTCAGCTCCCCGGACCAAAAACGACATCTGCCAATCCCTCATGTTTTCAGGACACGGGGATAGCAAACAGTGAGAACTGGGATCCTTCCAGGTGGAAGACGCAAGTCCAAACCTTATTGCTGCCATAACTTGGAAGAATCCCTTTGCTTTGTTAAAGAAACCCCTCCTAAAAAAATGTACGATGCAATTTTTGGGAGAAGAGTACTCGTGAGGTAGAAAATACAGCACCTTGGGAAGGTCTCAAATCATTGGCTTCCCAAGGTGCGAGGCAAAATTTGACACAGCAGAGGGGGAAGAAAGAGAAGCCAGGTTGGTTTGGGCACTCCAGGAGAGAAGGGTTGGAGGAAAAGTCAGGGTTGCACAGGTGGGTCAGATTCCTCCAGGGCTGGGTGGTGTGCAGGTCAGGTCCACGGATGGTTACAGGAGACAAGGGAATGGGCCCCATTCTCTCTCAGGGAGGCCACTGGAAGTCCATTCCCGTCTGCAGACAAGGTGGCCACACCAGGCGAGAGTACAATCGGGCTGTAAGGGAGGCAGAGGAGGGGGATCTGATCAGCACACAGGGTGACAGTGAGGAGCGACATGAATCAGCCACGGACCTAGAAGGTGGAGAGGAAAACTCAGAAGTACCTGGAAAAAGGAGAACACTGGGGAAAGTGAACACTAAGCCTGAGAAATCCAATAGACGTACCCAAGACAGGACCTGACATTCAGTGTCCTGCTGCTTAAAAAGCAAAGCCCTATGACGGAGGGCAAATTTTAAAAATCTCTGGGCCTTCTGCAGCCATTCACACAGGCTGTACATTCCCATGCAAGGACTTGTCAGTGGGGAGGCATAACCACTTGTTGAAACACCTGCTCTCTCCCTGACTGGTGTGGCCCAGTTTGCCTTGTGCTGCAAAGCAAAAGGTTGCCAGTTCGATTCCCAGTCAGGGCACCTGCATGGTTGCAGGTTCCATCCCCAGCCAGGGTGCATGCAAGAGGCAACCAATGGGTGTTTCTCTCCCTATCTTTCTCCCTCCCTTCCCATGTCTCTAAAAAGTAAATAAATAAAATCTTAAAAAAAAAAAAACCCAAACACCTATTCTCTCTGTGGGGCCCACATCAGCACCTTTCAAATATACGCTTCAGAAGCTTTCTGAAACTCGAATCTTCTCCATGACTCCCCTTACACTCCACTTTCCTTAGAAGGCAGAAAGGCACACTGAAAAGAGTATGGAACAGTTCAGGGGTCATATTACGGCTACTCCACCTTATTACGTATGTTTGGGGCAAGTTTCTTTATTGAGCTTCGAAGAACTTTCTTTCCCTTCTGAAAAGGGGGCAACGTTATTCTCCTAGAGCAATTAACTGCTACACAAACAGGGAAGAGAATTGCAGGTTGTCTTCCTTCCCTCCTGTTCAGAGACCTCTCTCTCTCAGGTCACATGGAGACAGAGAGGAGTTGAGACCTAGTCACAATCCATCCTGATTTCATTAGGAAATACAGCATACGTCATGGTAAGCAACTCAACAACTGCTGGGTGACTTAGCACGTCAGCTGAAAATAATACACTAATGAGTCTCCTCGTTTTAAAAGATGATCCATTTACATTTTGAATTCCTGGAATTAGGAATGGTAAAGGGCATTATGGATTTGCAAGAAATCTTTCATCCAAGGATATGAGGAGATATCCACTATTATGCCTTTGCTTAATTTTAACATCCTTTCCAATGAGAGTCAGAACAAAACTTGAACTTCAAAAGCAAAAAACTGATCCCTGGCTGGCGTAGCTCAGTGGATTGAGTGCGGGCTGCGAACCAAAGTGTCGCAGGTTCGATTCCCAGTCAGGGTACCTGCCTGGGTTGCAGGCCATGACCCCCAGCAACCGCACATTGATGTTTCTCTCTCTATCTCCCTCCCTTCTCTCCCTAAAAATAAATAAATAAAAAATCTTTTAAAAAAATCACTGAAGATTATTTTTTTAAAAAGCAAAAACTGATAATAATAAAGGGCTAGACGCCAAATGCTGGGGGAACAAACCAATCAGTTAATTACTGAAGACGTGTTGATCGCCTCATTGCTGCTCATCTCTCCAGAGGAGGTGAATGGTTAGTGCTGTAATGTGGCTTCCACACCCTCCGGTCACACGGAAGGAGGGGGAGAGAAATGAAGTGAAGGGCCAGCACTGGGTATCAACATAGTAGTTCATATCGAGTCTTAGAAATATTTCTGCCCTGGCTGGTGTGGCTCAATGGACTGAGCACCGGACTATGAATGAAAGGGTCATCAGTTCGATTCCCAGTCAGGGCACATGCCAAGGTTTCAGGCCAAGTCCCCAGTATGGGGCAAGTGAGAGGCAACCACACATTGATGTTTCTCTTCCTCTCTTTCTCCCTTCCTTCCCCTCACTCTAAAAATAAATAAATAACATCTTAAAAAAAAGAAATATTTCTATCTATTTACCTCAGTAATCTAACTTCTATGAATGTATAATAAAGACAAAATAGAAATGAGAAAACCATGTTCTAAGTTAGTCATACTGTTAGTAACAGCAGAACAATAACAACAAACTCCAACATTGGGAAAATGTGAAATAACTGAGAGTATATTCACAACCTTGTGCTGAAAATCCAATTTACAAAGAGCTTTTAGTGGTGTGGAATGACGCTAATAATTCTGTAACGGGGTGAAAAAACTATAAGTAACTGCAACTAGAAAACCACGGTCTGAACTGTATGAAACTGCCTCTGAGCGTGTCGATATGCCACAAGGTTATCAGCCATAACATTAAACATCAATTCTGCTCACCTTTCCTGTATTTTATGAGTTTTTAAACAAAAAAAGTACTATATTCTATTCAGAAAAAAATAATATTCAAGAAGTCACAGACTTAACAGTCTTAAGTTTTACCAGTCCCAATAACTGCATCTTTCTTATTACGTTACCACTGTACACATGACATCCTGATTCAGGGGTCAGCTGTATTCTACCGGACTTTGGAGAAATTAATAGGCTAAATTGTGAAGTCACTATCCTGCTGGACTTCGTAGACAATGGTAAATAGCTACCTAGTTGTACCAAGAGAAACTGAGATGTAGTCAAGGACCCTCCTAGGTCCACTATTATCTGTGCGTTCACACTTGGTTCTGCTACTTAACTTCTCTGTAAGATGAGGTGTCTTCATCTATAAAATGTGGATAACAATAGCGCCTATCTCATAGGGGTGAGGAGTCAATGTTATGTGTATACGGTGTTGAGTATATTGTCTGGCACAATTCACCACTCAAAAACGTTAACTACTAAGTTATTCTCAATCCCACCAGTCAGCCACACACAAACCCCTACAGACCCCAATTCCAGTTCAAAGCTTCATTTACGTGAACAGGAGAGGAGAGCAAAGCCCAACATCCACGAAATCCAGCAAGAATTCAGAAGACCATCCCCAGATCGAAAACACAGCTGGTGCCCAGCTTAGGAGCGTGCTTGCTGAGGAAGAAGCATGCCAATGAGGTGCTCAGACAGGCCCAGAATGGTGGTGAAACACACTAACAGGCAAGAACAGAGGCAGAACCCACCAAATAGCAACGAACAGGAGACCCAACCCATGGACTGCGGCCGGAACACAAGAACAGAATTCTAAAGAGATTCAAGAGTGCACAGGCAACTGCAAGGTTCAGAGAGCTCAGTGTGTGCGAGGACAATCACAAGGCAGGAGAAGTGGAATCTGAAATCCCAGGCCAGTGGGAAAGAATCCCAGGGAGCCGACACAGAGTCCCGAGAACCTTCCGTTTACTTACATTTCAGTGCAGCAGCCTCTCAGGCCACCCTTACTTCAGCCCAACGGAAAGTCCGATAATCAACGCCAAAATGCCCAGCAATACAACCACTACCACAATGATAATTATCAATTTCTGGAGAGGGGTGAGAGAAACAAACACAAGCCATCATTACAAACAACCAAAGAGCAATGATAATTCATCCAAAACCCAGCCTCCTCTCACCTCGACAGTGAAAGCATCTTATCAGTTCAAAGAAAACAGCCTACCTCTCTCTATGGACACATCTGCTAGGATATTTTATATTTGTTAGATTACTTCATGGCTAGCAAAGTATTCCAGATAGAAACACGGAGTTTCTGTCAGCTCTCAGCTCACACTGCGGTCTCACACGTGTGGACAGATGTCAGAGGAACTATCACGGAGCCACCAAGCAGCAACAGGCCAAGATATAAAGTGACTCACTTTTCCTTTTCAAGAAGGAAATGTAAAGATGATTTTGACATAGTCTTAATGTCAAACTTCTGTCCATCTCTCCCATAAAGTGCACCACCCCTTGACCACCCCTGTGGCTGTGGATGGAAAAGCGTGATTATGGTCCTGCTGTGAACCCGCCCAGGTCCGTCACGTAAAATAACTCCCCCGCATCCTAAATCCCTGCGCGAGCAATAAGTAAAGTTAGAAGGAAAGCAAGGAACTGAAGAGCAAAAATATCAGAGCCCAGGAGAAACAGAAAAAAAAACAGTCTAAAAAGCAGAAGCCACAGAGCTGGCTACCAGTCATGGGCAGAGAAGCTGGAAGGCCCCCAGCATCACCAGCAGGAAGGGGGTGGGGAGAGGGGACGGTGTGGTGGAAAGAGCGCAATTAGAATCTGAGCCCGAGCCCCAGCTCCTATGCTGACTACAGGGCCTGAAGCCAATTATTGAAACATCTCACCTCTGCCCCTCCACCGTTTCCTCTAGGAAGAAGTAGTAATAGATGCTCCCTGAGATACAGGAATAAGATGTTTACATAGCAACCAGCACAGCACTGGGTTCATGGTAGAGAAAAAGGGGGCAGAGCTTGGGCCTGCTGGAGCAGAAGACAATGAAGAGAAGGTTTCTGAAGACAGGGGAGTCGAGTGTGGCATCTGAAGGGACGACAAGCTCTGTGCAAGCACGACGCCCACGCAGTACCAGTCACGCGACAGAACTGCGTTCAGTGCCGGCTCCTGGGGGAGAGCCCGGGAGCCAGATCCATGCGAGGCACACCTGGGAGGGGAGGACGGCTAGTCTCTAGGCAAGGCTGACGCAGGGGTTTGGATGAGGCCGGGACAGGGAGAGGAGGCACAGGTTCCAGGACATGGGTGGGGATGACCGGAGAGAGGAGAGGCAAGTAGGAGCAGCTGGGACGAAGGCGCTCACCCTCCGAGCTTCGCTCTGATACTTGACGGCCTTTTTGGTGTCAGCCACGGCCCGCTCCACGAAGCCCACTGACTGGTCCATGTTGTTCTCAATACGGTCAATCATGGCCCCCTTGCCCCAGACGCAAGAGGTGGCGGCAGCAGGAAAAGCGATAGGCGGAGGGAAGAAAGAGCGAGAGACAGCGTGCATAACGGACCCTTGTCTGAAGGCAGCAGGAGAGTCTCACCTTCCGGGCCTGGCCCTGGTACTTCACGGCCTTTTTAGTCTCATCCCGTGCCTTCTCCACGTGGTCCACTGTGTGCATGACGTTCAGCTCTATGTTATCTAACATCTCACCCTGCAGAGAACAGGCGCTGGTCACACTCAGCCGCCAGCCCCCGCCCCAGGGCAGTCCTGGCTCCCCCCACATCACAAACTTCGATGCCAGGAGGAGCATCCAGGAAGCCTGATGTGCGGCCTTCCGGAAGGCACTCTTCCCCTTCCCCCCCGTGATTTACCCACGGTTCCCATCCTTGCTGGCCACTCTCATGGAATCACTTCTCTGCGACAGGCACTGGGCTGGTCGCCTGGAGCACACTGCCTGGATGCCCGGTAACTACAGGTTCCTAGGGCGTTGCCAGGATCCTGGCCTCTTCCTGGCCATTCGGACCCGAACCGAGTTCATCTGTCCTGAACTAAGTTTGTTCACTACTACAGAATGGTGCCTGGCACACCGTAGGTACTCAGTATAATATCTGAGGCTGGGAACCTGTGCTTTCTGTAAGAGATATTCCCAGCCCCCCCACCTTAGGTGATATACAGGGTGCACCCAAGCTGCGTGGCTAAGACCCAGTGGTCTCTGAACAAGATTCCCAACCATTTCCCAGCTATCACCTCCTGACAGGAGGTTGTGTCATTCCAATTAATTTCCTGTGTCTTAGGATAGGAATTCTCACCTACCTACACTTCCCTCAGCCCAACCCTTCGCTTTACTGCAGTCCGTAGGCAGAGAAGGCACTTACCAGCACTCGAATCTCAAACCAGCTCCTCGGCAAAGCAGTGTGGGGAGAAGAAAGAAAAGTGGGGCTGGGGGGACTAGAACCGTGGTCTCAAAGGCCAAAGGCACCTGAGCCCTGAGCAGGGAACCAACGTCAACAACCAGCCAGGCAGCGCTGCGGCTGCGGTTAGGATTGTCGTCCTTCTCCCGAGGGAGTTCTAATCCTGTCCAGCTGGCCGAGCAGCTGCAGGTCCACAGTGACGGGGGCACGACACCGTGACACCGAGCCATGTCTGGCCTCCTTGTAAGGACTGGGTGCCATCTGACCGTGTGACACTAACACCACACACAGGGACGAAGACTGGCACCCCGGAGAAGTGCACCCAGGGTCGGAACAAGCTGTCCTGCTAAGCTCCATGAGGGTTTTGAGTTTTTATGTAAATATCGTGCTATTCCCATTCACTGTGTTGTGTGCTCTCGTTCCTAAGCAAAAAGCGTTAACGTTTTTGGAAGCGCAAATACAGAATAAAAAACAAAAATGGAAAAAACTGAAAACTGTTGAACCTAACTTTTCACTGTTAAGTGGGGAAAAGAGCACATGTTTTCATTATTACCGGTGAAACAGTTCACACCAGGGGACTGTTTTCAGGCATCATCATTAAAAGCCCACATCTCTAAAAAAAAATGAGAGCCTGACTCCAGACGGAACTAGGCACTTGACAGACACATCAAACCCCATGTTAACTAGAAATAACTGTGAGGCCAAAGCGCCAGGAAAGAATGACAAGGCCGAGACGGCCCCATGCATCAGGGTTCAAGAGAGCATTCCTTTCCCTGGGACACTGGGATTCTGTTTCTCCACTAAGTAAATTCTGATCATTCTTTCACCTTGCCCCACCTGGCTCCCAGTCCCTCCCTCACCATTCTCAGGAGAACCTGAGCTCCCCTCTCCTCCCCGCCACACTGCACCCACGGCCACTTACCTGATTCTCCACCAGCATGGCGATGTCCATGAACATGTCATGAAGCTCCTTGATGCTGCTCTCCAGCCTCACGATGTCCTTGTGCCGTCCCTCGATCTCGCTGAGGGCTTGCTTGGAAATCTGAGAGTCGATGATCTACAAGCGGCCACACAAAGACAGGCCATCAGCCACCATCCCCTGCTGAAGCCCCCACACACCCTCCTGCCGAGCCCCTCACCTCCCCTGCCCCCCTACGCCTGCAGCCCACCCTTCACTCACTACCCGAGTGGAACGCCCCAGTGGCCTCCTTCCTCTGTGGAGGGACGTGCACCCCGCTCCCCAGTCACTCACCCCAGAAGTGAAGATGGCAGGGTTTCCACTCTCCAACATCTCCTCCAGCTCCTCATCTGTTGTCTTTTTGCCGGCTTTATAACAAAAGAAGGACAGCATCAAGTACAAGGTCAAGGCACGCCATTTCAAAAGTGCTCTGGAAATTAAGACTACAGTAATTCCACCACAAAGACCGTGGCCTTAACAACACTCTGCCAACAGCCCCCTGACTCATCTATCTTCCAATTTCTCCCCAATCCAATTTATCCTTAACATGATTAGCAATTACCTTCCTGAAGCATACGCCTGACCACGTTCCTTCCCAGCTCAGAACGTTTACTGGCCCTACCACTACACCACGGAGCCCAGGGCCCTCAGGACAAGGAGCCGGTTGCTGGGTGAGCCTCCCTCCATCCCTGTGAACCTCACACTGCTTCTCCCAGATGCACGCTTTCCCAGGCCCTGGACAACCTGCCACTCCTAAATACGCCTGCGTATTCCTGACTATGCCCTTGCTCTTACAGTTCCTCCACTTACAGGGCACACCACCCCGCAGGGCCCTGCGTTCCTCATTACTCAGCTTCTAAAGGCCATGGCTCCACTAACGTCATCACTCCTCACGGCAAGAAGCGCTGTACCTTCCATTTCATAAATGTTCTTCGCGATCAAAAAGACACAAACAATGGCATGGGTCCCCCGGACAGCAACTGTTTGGTGTCTGTCCTCTATGTATAGGAAACGCTGGCTCCCACAAGAACAAAATCACTTGGGCCTGATAAACACAGAGCCACCTTGCAGCCCAAGAACCAGCATCCGGGAAGAGCCAGCGCTGGAACACCTGTCCTGGGCATGGCCGCAGGATGTGAGACGGAAGCCACGAGCACAGTGGCTACAGCTTCCCCCCAGGTCTCATGACCCGGACGGACCGCCACATGGCAGGAAGACATGGAAAAGCATCCCCAAACTTCAGACACGTACTGATTTCCAGCTGCCGCTGGATCCGCCCTTTGCTGCGTTCACGGAAGTCCACCTGAGCCTCGTTGTACTTGGTCATCACCTCCACAAACTTCCGGGAGAGGACGGAGTGCTGTGGGAGTAATGGCAAATGCGGTAAGCCCCAGGAGGTGAGGGAGGTGGGAGGTCCCTAACTGCCACAGCTTGGTCTCCAGCAGCACTGGCCTTGGAATCAAAAGACCAATGTACATTTTGCTTGCTTATTGGTTTTGTTGAGGTTCCACTAGGTTCCACTTGGACAAAGCCAAAGGGGGTAGGATCAAGGGTGGGAGGCGGGGATATGGGATGGGAATGGTGGGGGGAAAATGGAGACAACATACTTGAACAACAATAAAGAGAAAAAAAAAGACCAGCGTATAAAACTCAACTTTTTGATTTCCTAACTTTACAGTAATGGGAGACCTTTCCAAAGTACGTCTTCAGCATCTGTTCACCTGCCCCGCTGGCGTCATATGGTGACTGTGAGGCCAGATAAGATAATCTGTGCATCTCAGAGCCCGGCACCCACGTGGACCTGGAGCATTTTTCTGCCACAACCCTTGGCTTGCTTTCTAATGCTGCCAGACTCCCTTCCCACACCTACCAGATTACCTTCCTAGCAGACTGCAGCCTGAAGTAAATGCACCCAGCTGCTCAGTGGTAATCAGACAAGCAGCCAAGGACCTCTGGAATATGGTACTACTTTCTCTAGCAAAAACTCAATGTCCGCTATCCCACAACAGCCTTTTACCCAGATGGGCTGCCCTTCTTCGTGTTCGCCCTTCACCGCTACCGCAGCCCCGGCACCAGCACTGCTGCTGCCAACACACACACGTGCACTCACACACACCCTGCTCCTGTCCCCTTGCCTCTTGGGAGAACCTCTATCCCTGAGCCTGCCCCTAGGCGCACTCTTACCCATCCAAGGCTCAGGCTCCTCTGGCTACCCCCAGTCCTTCCCGAGGCCTTCTAATGCTGAGAGCACGAGCATCAGATTACGTCCCCACACACTGCTCCCCCGTCAGGTCTTACACAGTAGGTTCCTTATGCCGCTGGAATGTCATGCCAGTTCCTTAAGGACAAGGATTGTGTCTTGGATGACCGCCAACCAACCTAACTCCAAACTGGACCACTGACGACACACCATCTTTAGAGAGATCTCAGTTTCCTTGCCCATGAAACAAAGAGGCACATGAAATCCTGAGCTGTGCTCTGGGAGCCCTGGGAAGCCCTCCAGGGGCCTCCCTGGACAAGGAGTACGTGAGAGAGGGGCCAGGAGGGCGGGGCCCCGGTCCTCTGCTTTACCCTGGACAGCTCCCCCTTCCTTACCAGTTCTCCAACTGAGTTCCAAGTAAGAACTGTGTTTTTTTAAAAGCCTTGAGCTAAGAGAAAAGAATAAAAGATTGGACTAGACAACTGTTAGACCGGAGAAAGTCCTACCTGTGACTTCCGAATCCGAAGGTCCGCCGACGAGCGGACCTCGTCTTCCTCAATGTGCCGCTCCATGTCTGGAGACGAGAGAGACAGGTTATTCTGGCCACACACCTGCGGCTCTCCTCTGAGACACCCACAGCCCAGCTGAAACCCCCTCGCTCGTTCTCAGCCAGCCCATGAAGATGAAATGACAGGCAGGCACCATCTCAAAACGTCAGCTTATGTGTGCGCCACAGGACTGGCACTGCACGCCCTTTACCGTTACCGGGTCCTCTCTGACTGCGTCTGAGCACAGTGGTTAACAGCATGAGCCTTTGTCACCAGGAAACTTAGCCTCGAACCCTTGTCCTGCCACTTACTAGCTGCGTGGCTTTGGGAAAGCCACCTCACCTCTCTTAGTGGTCCCTCGCCCATAAAAATGGAACGGACAACAGCACCCCTCTCGCGGCCCTGATGTGAAGACTCAGCCGGACTGTCCACAGAGTGCCTGGCCCAGTGGCAGACATGCTAGCATCGCTATTATCGGAAGCAGCCACTGTGACCTCTACCTCCGACCTCCGCCCCCATGAAAACAGGCACTGTGACTTGTTTGGGGGGGAAGAAATAATAACTTGGGCTGAGCAATGCTGATTTCACTCTCTGACCAATGACATGCATTCACCAAATACACTGCACAAGAATGCAGACCGTCGCCATGGAACTAAGACACCTTCTGGGCCCCCAGAGGAATCCAATCTCTGACCTCGGCTTCGCTGAACGATGCTTTGAACTGAAGGGATGGGGCTGGGGTAATGGGAGGTGATATGCCTGCCCTCCCCCAAAAGTGTCCATGGACTAAATAATATATTTTGCATCTATGTGTCTGTACCATTACCATTCAAATGGAGGCAGGTGCTGGGGAAACAGAAAGGCCGAGGGACTAAGTTACAGGACCAAGTCACACAACTACTCAGCGGCCGAGAGCACACCTGAGGTCCCACCTCCTAGCTTCAGTCCACCAACCACGCTCGTGATCAAGAACAGATAAGTTTCTGGGGCTATAACAGGTCACTCCAGGGACAGTGCCCAAGCCACAGGCAAAGGTGGAACAAGTGGCATCACTCCCATGGGGGTGAGGTTCGGACCAGAAGAGCTGGACCCCGCGGATGGGAGGCAGACGAGAGTGTGGGGGGCAGGGTTGTTCCCTTGGCTCCCTTCTTACTCTTCAGCTTGTTCCGGACGTTGTTGGCCCTTTTCTTGATCTCAGCTGTGAGCTGCTCTAGATCATCCTTGGTTTCTGGGTAAACAAAGGCAGGCAGGATCGGTTAGAAAAGACCAATCAACAGAGGAGGTGAGGCGCTCCCTCAGGCACCCGTCGCCCAGACTAAGACTGGAGTCTCTGGGAGAAGAAACAATCTGTGAAAGACCTGTAGGCACAAGCAGCACTTGGGGCACAGAGTTCCGTCTGGCTCCAGTGTAGGTAACACGGGGGAGGACGGCAGGAAGGTGGCCAAGAAGGTTCCCATGTGCACCACTACCACATTTCAGCTTGAATCTTTAGGTAATAGACAGTCATTGAAAAATCTGACCAGTAAAATAACAGTATCGAGCTTGTTCCTTGTTCTTATGGAATCCAAAACATAGCCTAAATTCCACTCCAAAAATGTGAAATAATTAGGGGGGAAAAAGTTTGCCTCCATGATGGTACCAAATAGGAAACTGGTGATGGGAGGGACTGAGGTGAACTTGAACCACCTTGGAGCACCTCATAAAAACCTGCACGTGATCTGGAGGACTTGGACAGGGGGCTGGGGAAAGCATTTCAGGCAGAGGAGATAGCACAAGCAAAGGGGCAGAGGTGGGGCAGAGGTGGGGCAGAGGCGGGGCAGAGGCGGGGCAGAGGCGGGGAAAGAAGAAGCAGTAAGGGTCGCTGCTAGTCCTGAGAGTGACCAATGGGGAAGGAAAGTCTGGCGACATGGGTTATGCAGGGCTGTGAAGACAAGAGCTGCCCGTGGCTGGGCCGGGTGACCTCAGACAGGACACAGGAGAATGCGGGATGAGATGACGTGCACGCCGGTGGAATGTACTGTGTACGTACACTCCCCCGCTGTTCACAGAGGGAAGGAAAAACAAGACTGGCTCGGCCCCAGTGCCAAAGGCCATCGCTGGTGACTCAGCCCTAGGTAAACACTCACTCGGCTCTGGGATTGGTGCAGACAGAATGATACTGTAGAGTTTCTTAGCCTCCTCCACGTGCTCGGAGATCTTGTCAATGTTGAGCCGCGTTTCCTCGATCTGTCATCAGAAAGACAATGGCCTTTGTCATCAGAGGAAGAGTATGTCCATGACTGAGGTTAAGGCTTAGCAGAGCTCCCTGGTGAAAGCTGCCCGCCCTCTTGGGTTTGGGGAAGAGGATGATGACTGACGTGTTTTCTGCTTTTCATGGATAAAGTCATCTCAACAGAGCAGTCATTGAAAAGCCATGCCATCGCTCCCTGAGAGGAACACATTTGCCCACCTTGGACGGGAAGATTCAGGCCAGAGTCAAGAGGAGCCAGGAAAAGCCGTGAAGAGGAATCAGAGAAGGACCAGCACACCCGATCAGGGAGATCCTTTAGCACCCTGCACCTGCCCCACCCCCCAAAGTGAGAAAGAGATGAGGACAGGAGGGAGGGAAAAAGGGGAGGCAGGGAAGAAAAGAAGTGCAAGGGAGAGAACCCACCTAGAGCGTGAAAAACGAAGAGAGGAGACTGAAAGGAACAGTCAGACAGAAACGGAGAAAGAGATAAAGAAGAGAGTGAGACTCCGCAGTGACTGTATCAGGAGGCAGCCTGAGACTGTCTGGCCTTCCCATACTGTTCCACTTACAGCAGAATCCCAAGTCTATGCAACTGTTAAAAAGGCCCAAGTTATCACCTGTGAAATCTGGCAGCCTTAGGGGCATAGCCACCTCAGAATCAGGCCCTTGGGTGACCAGAAATTGCCCCCTTTACCCTTCCCTTCCCCGTTATCTCTCTATCAGACACTGGCTCCTCTCCCCAACTCATAAAATGTCATTGCATCACAGCAGGTGACTGTCTTACCAAAGCAATTACATTATATAAAACAGGACTGGGGCGGGGGGAGACTTTCTAGAATGAAATATGCTAACCATTGGTAAATGAACTTAACATATTTTAACAAGCCAGAGACCTTAGATTTTGCATGTTCAATGGATCAGATGTCTTAGAAAATATATTTGGAATATTATTTCATAAACGGAAAAGCATCATGACCCAACGTTTGGTCAACAGTATAAAAAACGAGACCAGAAGCTGCTAGGATGAGACGGCTGGGCCTCAGGCTCAGAATGCTCCAGACATTTGGAGACGGGATGGTAGGGAGGTTGTCCAGCCCTATGGGCAGGAAGATCGAGCCCAGGTGCTCCATCCTCAACCTGCCTGTGGGACTTCCCAAGGTTGGGGAGCACGTGCCTCCTCTCCCATCGCCCCGCTCACCCTGCTCCTTCCTCCGTCCTCATCAACCTTCCCTTCTGGAGGCATTTCAGAAGCTGATTTAGTAATTTAGTCCGTGCGCCACATGATCACCCTTTAGACACAGGGCTGTCCGACCTGCGGCCCACAGGCCACGTGCAGACCGGGGTGGCTGTGCGTGTGGCCCAACAGAAGATCGTCAATTTACTTAACACAGGAGATTTTTGTGATTCTGTGTCACAGTGGATTAAATGTGTGGCCCAAGACAACTCTTCTCATTCCGGTGTGGCCCAGAGGCGCCAGAAGGTTGGACACCCCTGCTTTAGAGCTTCAGGATGGGCCACTGGCCAGTCAAAAAGCTTTCTTTTTTTGAACTTTGTGTCTTTACATTTTCTTGGAAGTGTTGGTGTTCCTCAGAGGTGACTTTCTGGGTATTTCACACTGGCAGCTACATGCAGTTAATTTCCTTTTGTGCATCTGCCAGATAACCAAAGGCTCATGGGGTGGGGGAGGGAGGGTCCAGGACTGGGAACCTAGCAGCACTGAACCTAACAGCTCAAGGCCATTTGTGTGTTTGTTTGGGGTTGTTTTAAGTATACTGACATTACCCTGCACAATAATATGTTTAAGAACTGTAACGGATTTAACACCTACCTGCAGCAGAAACAAGGCCTTCAAGCCTGCCTGTGAAGTCCCCATCACTCTCTCCCTTTTAAGCATGAGAACATTTTGGCTCAGACAGGTACAGAAACTCACCCAAGGCCATACTGCAGAAAGGTGACATCAAGGTTTGAACGTAGCATCTGTTACATACTAAGCCCTGCCTCCTGAACCAGGTAAAGGTGCAAGAACCACCTACAGGAGGCTCCTCCGCCTTCTCTCCCAGGTCTGTGCACATCAGCCTGTGTCAGGTTATGTGTATGTTTGACTCACAGTTCTGTGACAGGGTCACAGTGGCCTTTCACTGAGATCACCGGCCTTATTTCTTGGTTCTCCAACCAACGCTCCCTATAGAGAGCTTTTCACACAAAGTGTGCTCATGGAACACTGCCGATGAAGGGAACCAACCAGGTTCTTTAATCACCACACTAAATGTGCAACTAGTACATCCTCAGTGCCTGCTTATTGTATGTTACTTCTTATTTGTCAGCAGTATGGAAGTCCAGATAGTATAGTTTAAGAAAATAAGCATCAAATATACCAAGATCAAGTTTCAGCTGCACCTCTTAGCAGTTTCATGACCTTGAACAAGCCACTTACCACCTGCCCCCCAGCCCCAGTTCTCTCACTTGTGAAATGACAATTATCATAGTTCCCACTTCCTAGACTTTTTGTAGGGTTTAAATGAGATAATACACGTCAAGCTCTTAACACAGAGTACATGCTCAGTAAACACTGAGTGATGGTGATGATAACACAATCATAACCAGCAGTGACTGCACATTCATTAATGCCAGGTACTATGCTGCGTCTATGGGGACACTTCGTTTAACCCTCACACCACTCCGAATATTAACAAAATGCTCTGTGGTATCGTCAGGAGCCACCCACGGAAATTAAGTAAGACAAGCAAGTCGACCATTCTTCAAGTTGGGTGTCTGCCTCGGGGAACAAATTATGATTACCACATTATACTAATCACTATCATCTAATTAAAAGGAGAGAGTTATTTTCAAGGCATGGGTGGCCTCTTCCCTCTGGACCTAAGTAGCCAGTGGAATTTAATTAGACAATGGAAAGCAGAGAAAGTACTATTGCAATACTCTGGAGAAGTGGCAGACGTCAGGGGCTAGGGTAGAAAGCTTTGTCCATTCTACCTAAAACATCTCTGCTTCCCCCAAGTTCCATGCACTTGCACCGCTCTAGTTAGGCATTAATTCCTGCATATTTATATTATGCACCACCACCCTTTAATGTGACAAAAGTAATGGAGTTGTAAGGGTCAAATAAATGACTCCTTCTTTTCACAATTCATTACTTTTTGTCCAAAATAGAACAATCCAAAACAGTCCTCATACTAGAAGTCCTGAGTCAAGTCCTCTTCGAATGCTTGGCTTCTTTGCTTTGGAAAACAAGTAAACATTGATGAGAAGGGACAGAGAGAGGTCTTAGTCAGCCAAGCAACAGAAGTCAAATCCCTCCGGGGTTTTATCAAGATTGGGACTAGTGTTTCAGCTCTCTCTCTCATGAATGAAAAGGCATGAATGATCTCAGAGTCCCACTGACCAGTGAAATCGAGTATTCTTAGACAAATCAGCAGTGTATTTGGGCTTTGCAACACTCAAAACTTAGTCAGGAAAACAAAAACCCATCTAGTTATTTTAACTGAAGTAACAGAATACAGGGAATTCTTTACACAGAGATGGAAGGGCCAAGAAGCCCAATAGAGGAAAGTGAGACTCTCTGGAAACTGGCCCCAGCAGGTTGGAGGGACACAGAGGGAAGGCAGGGCCACCTGGGCCTAAGGCCAGGGCCACTCTGGTGGGAGCCAGACCACAGTGAAGTGGACCAGCAGAACGGGACCATGGAGGTGGGCCCATCATGTGAAAGTTGAGCCTGTGAGGGAGACAGGTCTGGGGAGGAAAACCATGGCCTCTTCCCTCCTCCATGAGTCTTCTGCCAGCGCCTCCCCGAGGTCAAACACCCCGAAGCCAGTTGGCAAGGGAACCTGGGAAATGAGCTCCCTACAGTGCAGAGCAGAGCACAGGAAGGGCGGGGGTGGACCTGAGAACAAATAGGCAAAGGACTGGCAAGGGCTTCCCGCCTGCCCAGGGAAGGACCCAGAAACGCAGAACCTACCAGCTTACCTGGTCATCCAAACAGCCTACCTAAAGAAAGAATCACAGAGTATTTAACCTGCTGTACTTGACTTCATGCCTGGATTTCCAAGTTGCATTCACTCACTTTGAGGTTCTTCGTTTTAACAGACATCAAGCCCACCTAGCAAATCCTAATGCTTTCAAGACCGCTCGCCTCCCCATTCCTCCAACCAGGTGCACTCCACCCTCCAAAGCCCCACAGCACTTTGCCCACACTCCACCCGCTCTCACTTCTCCCCCGCCTGACTCAGATCTCCTCGAGGGCGGCGACCAGCTTGTTCCTCTTAGACAACAGGGCACCCGTCACCGTGCCAAGCACGTGGTGTCACTCCGCAGAAAGGACGTAAGGAACCGCAAGAAACAAGCACACGCCACTGCAGGACTGTCTCGCAGACTTTTCTTAAGCACATCCAAAGAAGAAAACTTTCTGACAGCATTTTCCAAAATGTATTCATTCACCCTTGTTAAGAGAAGTCACATGTCAGAAAGGGTTCCGTGGAAAAAATAAATGGGAAGTAAAGCAGGTCTCTCTACTACAGGACTTCTTGGAGCCTTGAGTGTGTTAACGTGCTTTTTACACCTCCATGGCAGGAGGGAGTAGGAAGCATTTCTCAAGCACATTTGCTCCCAGCAGTCTTTTTGGCATCTCATCCTGCTGTTCACGATGCGCTCTGATCCACCAAACAGCCATCCCACCTGCCCCTGCTCTTCTTGTTAACAGAACTCTGATTCCGTGTGGGCAGCGGTACTGCCAGCCCCAGAGGATGAATCATGGCCAGTTCTATGGCAATCCTGACAATCCTGTCCCTTTGTGAAGGAGTCACTTTCCTGGTCTCCCTTCCAGCTGAGAATGACTACAACCATGTGATCCACTGTTGGCCAATGGGTAACAAGGGAAAGTCAGCTTGGAGGATTTGGGTCCTTTTCCTCCATGATAAAAAGATCTTTGAACTTTTCTAGCTGCCCCGCTAGTGCAGGCTGAGACCACGTGGAGCTGTGCCTCTGTGGTGGTTTTAGAACAGGACACAAATTCTTTAACGCTCCTCCTGTTGACAGGTGGTATCCCATGTATGGACCCTTTGAATCTGGGGGGCTCATGCTGCTTCCACAGCAGAGTAAGCACAGGTGATTTCTGCAGCTGGAACGCCGGCCTTGGGCCTCTGAGTCTCCGTGTACCAAGCTCACACTCCTGGCTCCGTCATGCTGAGAAGTCCAAGCCACAGAAAGAGGCCAGGTGTAGGCACTCCAACTGGCAGTCTCTGCTGAGCTTTCCTGCGTCACTCTAGTCCAGGCACCCATGTGAGAATAAAGGCGTCTCTCTCAGATTCCAGCCTTCGGCTACACCAGTCTTCACAACTAAAGCACCAGAAACTGTGGAGCAAAACTCATCTACCTCCACTGTGCCCTGTCTGAATTCCTACTCCACTGACTCTGTCAGCATCACCAAAGGGCTGGTGACACCAGTAACGGTGACATCAACTTGTTACACAGCAATAGTCAGAGCAGACCCCGTCTCTCGATCCTAAGGGACAAGCCAAGAGGATCAGAAAGATACTGACCTAGAGTCCCAGCACCTCTAACCCACTGCACCGCCTCTAACTCCTGACTTGTTCATTTGTGAAAACAATTTCCTATCTGTATTGCTTTAGGTGCCTGTTACTGATTACTCGAAAGCATCCCTAAGTGGCACCCCCTGCTGCCGCTCAGGGACCCAGCTTCAGGCCAGAGCTCTCATCTTTCTCCCCAAGGGCTGCTGCACCAGCCGACTTACTGATCTTCCCGTTTCTGGCTGGTCCGCCTCCACACACTGCCACCAGAATGACGCTCTAAACACACTGTAATCCCATTACTTCCTTGCTTAAAACCTCCAAAGCTCCCCATCACTTTGCAGGGGTTTGCACGTGTAACTGCAGAATCATCTGGAAGAACTTCAGAAGTCTGAGCGATTCCAAGCCCTCTGACTCACGTGTGTGTGTGTGTGTGTGTGTGTGTGTGTGTGTGTAAACCGCTCGCAGGTGGCTCTGACGGGCGAGTCGAGTTAAAAACCACTGGAGCCTGCCCTGCTCCCCTTTCCCTCCTTCCCAGCAGAAAGAGAAGTTTCCTCCTCTGGGCTCCCACATTCCTACCTTGTTAACGTTTCCACGATCATGCGACTTTTAAAAAAACTTGTCACCCTCACCAGATAAGGGGACACCAGAGGGCAAGGACACCGTCCCATGGGACGTTCGCTCCCCAGCACCTAACCCACTCTCTTGGAAGACAGCGGCACTCACGTAACCGATGAATGGATGACGGAAGTTAGAACAATAAACCCCTCGAGGTCTGCCTTCTCTCCGCCGTTCCATCTGCTCTCTCTGCCAACTGAGAAAGCAGAGCAAGGAAAATACGGACGACTGCCAATTAGACAAAAGTCTTAGGTTTATCATTTACTAGACCCTGGCCTACCCAGCCAAGGAGGCCTGCAAACCCAAGGGCCAACTCTTTTCTCTAACAACCGAGAAGCTGGAGAACCCACTGGAGCTTCAGAACGCAAACACATCTGGAAACCATCCTGGTCCTTGGCCTCATCCACACCTTGCGAGCGCCGCTCTGAGCACCTGTGGACCACACGCACTGCTGGTCCGCGGCAAATAGCTGAGGGCGCCCTACTTGCTGAAACGAGACCAAAAGGCAGGTCTTACTATAGGAGTAACTTCCCAAGGAATCCACTTAGCTATGTCCCGTAGGGTCATAGTTCGTACAGGGTGTCTTCCCCAGTCACAAAGGAAAACCTCCTTCTTTCCCCAAATCCCCATCATCTGGAATGTACTTTATTTCACTGTCAAGGATATTTCTAGATCAGACTCTATAAAATCAACTCTGTGGCCCACTTACTCTAAACACGTTGGGGAACACGATGGTGACAAGGGCTAAAATCGCTGCAGACGTACTTAGCGTATGTCAGGCACCGTGCCTGGAATATCACATACCTTTCTCATTTCATATTTATAATAACCAGCAGGACTGTTCTTGCTTTAGAGGGAACCGGGTTTTTGCGCAGTTAGACAACTCTTCCAAAGTTATACCGCGAGTACTGGGCAGAGCTGAGACTGAGGCCAGGATCCTCGGGGAGCCAGAGCCTGTCGGGTCTCTTTCCACGGCCCGCCTCCTCTCGCCTCCGCCCCACTCCAGAATTTACTCCTTCCGTGCTGTTCATCTGATGAGAAGGAAGGAAAGTAACACCTACCTATGCCCACACCAAGGACTCTCTGGGTGTTACCTCCTTTAATCCCCAATAAATCCGTGAGGTGACTATTTTTCTCCCCATTTCACAAGATAAACCCACTGAGACTTAGAGAAGTTAAGGAATGAGCCCAAGATCACAGTTAGAGCAGTTAAGGAATTACTTTCAAAGACCATACTCTTCCCACCCCCCAATGCTGTCCCCTTCTTCACCCTAAATAGGATAGGGCTCTTTTTTTCTAAGTGACAAAAAAGCAGGTGATAAAGAACAAGCTGCAAGAAAAAAGCAGCCCTCGAGACCTCAAGTCTCCAAAAACCACCACCACCCACCCAGTGCCTTTCAGTCTAGATAATGCTCCCCAGGCGTGGGGCCTCACGTGAGCCTCGCAACCGCCTGGAAGGGTCAGTGCTACCGTCCCTGATTTCCAGAGCAGGAATCAAGGCCCAGATGGGTTACGTGATGTAACCACATCAACTGTCATTAAATGCTTAAAGAAGGACACAGACCACGTTTTGGAGGCCGACGCCAACCCTCTTCCCACCTCACAAGGAATACTGCCTCTCAGAGGCCCTCTTACTGGTTTAAGAGAAGACACAGAACAGGGTCCTTGGGTGGGTAAGATTCCTTATCCCTTATTCCTTATCTCCTTAGATTAAGTTCTCGACGGCCTCTGGTTCTCCAAGGCGAGATCAGAGGGACGTGCTACAGTGACGTAAACATCTCAAGTCTCACCCAACGAGTAAACAGAAAGACATTTCTAACTAACCATGATCCACTCGTGGAACAAAACTAACTCATAAAACGCAGATGTTTGATCTCACTGTGACTTCTCAACCTCAAGGGCAGGCCCACCCCCAGGGGAGGGCGGGGCTCTGAGGGACGTCCACAGCCAGCTTCCCACACAGGCCAGCACACGCCCTCGTTCACGCTCATGGCCGCTCATTACTCTAACCCCGGAACGGGTCTGAACCTTCGAGCCTCGCTCCACTCCCGTCTGGTTAGACAAGGACCAGAGGATGACTTTTCTACATCTGCAAGCTAGAGGACAGGACGTACCCTCATGCCCCCTGCAAGAGAATATGATGCCTCTTGTCCTCTTTCCAAAAAGACTGAAAAGCCATAGAAAGAAACCATAGTATGGTGGCAGAAACTTCAGTGCCTGAACTTTCTGTGGTTTTGTTCTTTTTGTTTCCAAGTACCATTATGGAGCACATCCATATTATCTCAGATGCTACACTGAATGTGTTAGAAACATTATGCCCTTTGATCCTGACAATAACCCTCCAGGGATTATTGCATTACCCACCCAATCTACAGGTGGGAAAACCAGGCCTGCTAACACTCCCAAGATCAACAGCTGCTGGGAAGCAGGGCTGAGATTTGAACCTGGGTTTACCTGGCTCCAAAGCCTGTGTCCCTGCCCGTGATGCACCCCGCCCCCCCACAGCATTCCAGCCCTTGCTGTCTACGGTAGCACCTTCCCAACAGGGACCTTCGAAATCAAAGACTATGGGAGTCTGTAGACATGGGACACTCACTGGTCTTCACCCCTATTCAACTGCAGAAATCTAAACTGGTGGTTTCTCGGTCTCTCCGTTACCACTAGAATTAAGTCAGAGGAACTAAATTTTGGAAATAAATCTGATCTGTATGAATCACAGACCTGAAAATGCAAGGTGTTTTATCCTTGTGGCTGAGCCTCCATGGTTGCTGGTCCTGTATTCAAGTTACAATAATTTAGGCAAAAAAGGATATCACTAAAGAGTTGTCGTGTCACGTAAGAATAAGACTTTAAAAGCATCTCTTTAATTACATATCATTTACCTTCTGCTGACTTTGTCCCTAAGATTGAAAAATTCAAATCCTCCCAAGGAAGTATGGGAGAGGCTCTCCCTGTAACTTCTTGGTCTGGCCACCCTGCCCCAGGGAAAGACGGACGTTCTTGGTGAGGCCCTTCAAAGATCCGAGGGTTTTTATTCTCTGCTGAGGATGCTGTGTCTCCTCACACACACTCAGAGGAAGGCAGCAGCAGGTCGCCTACCTCGGAGAAGAACTCATCCATGAAAGCTGTGTTGTCAACGGCAATCTCAACCTCGTCGGCATCGCTGTCCTGTGTCAGCTGTTTCTGCAAGAGACAAAAGGAGCGGGGTGAGGCCAAAAACGCAAGAACTCGGTCACAGTACTGAATGCTCCCTAAGGCCATGATGCGCTAGATCCACATTAGCCATTTTGCATTTACAACCTCCAAAACTCAGAACAGCTCTGTGACGTGTCAGGCTCCAAGGCCACACTGTCTGAATTTAATTAAATCCCAGTTCCACCGTTGACAGGTTTTGTTTTGTTTTGTTTTGTTTTGTTTTGTTTTGGTAGGTTAGGCGAGGGAAGGATGGGCATGTCACTCTCCTCACTGTGCCTCGGTCTTCTTATCTGTGAAATGCTAATAATAACACTCCTAACTTCACAGGCTTGTTTAACAAATCAGTAAGATAATCAATGATAAAACACTTCTGCACAGTGTCAGGCATGCCTTAAATACTCAATAAATCGTTAAGCTTGGTGATGGAGACATTAGTATAACTCATTCCAAGCAAAGAACCGAAACCAGAGAGGTTAAGTAATTTGGTCAAAGTCACACAGCTACAATGGGAAAGCTGGCGGGGTCTAGCCCAACCGGGCTTTGGAGCCCACGTTCCAGCCCCTTCTCCATCCACACTGTCCAGTGCCTGAGCCACCCTGCTGTGAGATCTCTTAGAACAGCTTCCAGCCACAGTTCCTCCAAACACTGGCTGCAAATTCTCACAGCAGGAGTGAAGATCTTCCTGTTTTGAGAAGCACCTACTGCAAAGGAAATGGGCGGATGCTTTGTGTTGCTCCCTGTCCGAGTTCATGTTTACAAGGAAAAGGAAGCTCTACCTCCAGCCCCCAGCCACCCTTGGAAACGCCAGCTTTCTTAACCTCGTTCAGTTTCCTCTGCAAGATCACCAAACGGCTATCTAAAGGAAGGGCTTCCCCTCCCACCGGGCATCAAGGGCCTAAGCTCTTGCTCCATTCTTCCCAAAAGTTCTTCCCAGACCATGGCTGCGTTGCACGTGGCCCGTTTCTAAGGACAGAGAATGGGCTGTTGCGAGTGGAGGTAGGGAGGGGTAAACCCCCTACACCAGCTTCTTCACCTCTAGTGGTCCTGTGGCTTTCTAAGCCAAGACACGTCACTGGCACACACTCAGAACTTCCACGGGCAATGAAAGCCGCCAGGGGCCTCTTTTCTTCCCCTGCTACTGCCCCCTCTGATCTGCAACACAGATGGAGTTCCTGGGAATGCCCATTACAGTCTGGGTCTCTCCAGTCATCCAGGGAGCCTCTTTTGACTGGGGCCCCACCATCTCATTCTGGGGCTCAACTGGAACCATCAGCCCCCCAAGTTCAACAGCCACAATCAGAGGAGTTAAAATTTGAGGCACTGCTATAGTCCCCACAACTAAGAACTGATCATGTCCTTCTGCCACTTGAAGTCACTCGATGACGGCTCACCTCCGAGGACTAATATTCCCACTGCCTACTGGAGCACGTGGGGCCCTTTAAGATCAGGCCCCACCCATTTCTCTCCCTCCAGGAGACACTGTCTCCACCAGGCACTGGGAACTCCTTGCATTTCCGGGACACATCATTCTTTCATATTGCTGAATGGTCACGCAAGGTCTTCCTCCTGAAATGCGTTTGTCCAGCTGGCAAATTTGTCCTTAGCCTTTAAAACTCAACCTCGGACAGCCTCACCTGTCAGCCTTACCTGACCCTTCCTCCGCACACAAAATTTAAAACCTCCCTAAGCTCCCAGTGCATTCTGTACAAACTTCCATAGCAGCCAACTCCGCCTACTGTGAGTTGTCCCTCGATTTATGCATCCTTCCCCCCCCCACCTGTAAACTCCTGGAGGGCCAGGACTGTGTGCGCGTGCATGCGTGTGTGTGTGTGTGTGTGTGTGTGTGTGTGTATCTACATCTACTGTGGCAGCTCCTGCCCAGGACTCCTTCCCTTGTGCAGGTGCCCCTCACCCGCCCGCCTGATTCCGGGAAGGCTCTCAGTCATGACCCAGGCTCCCTGAGGAACTCGAATTGTGAAGGGAACAGAGCAGACTCAACCGGCCTTGGCAAACAGAGATGTCTGCTAGATTCGCAGAGCGGCCCTCGTTCCCGTCCTTCCCAAGCCGCGCCTTGGCTTGGTCGCACAGGCTCTCCAGACCTTCCCTGACACACTTCCGATGAGCAGAACAGGATTCTTCCACCATGGTTAAAATCCACTTAGGCAGAATCGGCTTTTGCAATCGAAACTATGTGTACTTGCACCCTGGCTGGTGTGGCTCAGTGGACTGAGTGCCCTCCTGTGCGAACCAAAGAGTCACAGGTTCGATTCCCAGTCTAGGGCACATGCCTGGGTTGCAGGCCCGGGTCCTTGGTTGGGGGTGTGTGAGAGGCAACAACACATTGACGCTTCTCCCCCTCTCTTTCTCCCTCCCTTCCCCTCTACTCTAAAAGTAAATAAATAAAGTCTTTCTTAAAAAATACTTGTACTCGTCTTTAATCTACCCCACATGTATTCTGGGCACTGACCATACACTGGCTATGTAACAGCAATGTAATCGATTTCAGCTGAGCAAATCACTAGTGTCCACACAGACTGGCAGCCTGCCTTCACCCAGCAGCTTCCAGTTTGAGAGAAATGCTCCCCTGATCAGCTGTGAGCAGCACGTGGGCACCTCGGCAGCCTCCGGAGAGCTCGTCTCCCACGGAGGGTTTCTGTGGTCCTCACTAGCAGACAGGAACCCAGTCTTCCTCTAGGTAGCATTTGCTGGGTGTTCCCTCTCTTCAGAGGTCTTCTGCAGACTCACACTGAGGGGGCACACCCAGTGTACGTGTGTGTCCACAGCCACACATACACACACACATGCAAGCGCGCCAACTCGGCTTTCTTCAAACAGACACGCATGCTAAGAAAGTGGGATAAGGCTGCCATCACGGGATGGACTGAGGGGAGTTTCTCACCCCGTCACCTGGCGGTGAAGCTGAGAACAACTGTGTCCTCGAGCATGAGAGGCAGGCACTTAGCTCTCCAGCGCGACATAAGGTTTAAGACCCCTAGAATTTGTACAGGCATCCCCCACCTCCAAGACAGCCAGCCGCCTGTGGGCTTTCAGCAGGTTCCAGCAGGGCGGCCTGGCCCACGTCCAGCGAGAGGACGTGTGAACTGGGAAAGGGGACGTCTCCGGCCACGCACACCTGAGGTCCAAAACTTGTTACCAACTGCTGGCTGGGAGGCCTCAGTCAAGTCCCTTACTACTCTGAGGTTTTTCCCTGTAAACAGAAATAACACCACACACGTTAACACTCTTATGCGGGTTAGAGGAGACCATACATGCAGAGTTTCTAGCATGACACTGGGCACACTCCAGGGTCTAATAAATAAATGTCAGCGTCCCCGTCACCTAGCGTTGAAGACCCGATGCCTAAAGGGTGAGTCCACCCCCCGCCCCCCGCCACAGGAAGTGCTCACAGTCAGGCTCAGTCAGTGAGATGGACCACGCAGCGTCATGATGACCAGGGTCCCTTCACACCTTGGTCACTTAAACCACTGGCTTAACATCTCTGAGCCTCAACCTTCTCATCTGCAAAATAGGAACAATAGCGTCTACCAGGGCTTCTGTGAGGATTAACTAAGACACCACTTAAAGTTCCTTACGCGATGAAGAGCACATGGTAACAACTCAATAGAACACCTGCGTGTAAGATCTCGCCAGCTTCTCTACAGTTTTAACCGGGATCTAAGTACCTTCAAACAGGAAAGGGGGGCGGGGAGGGAAGACACAGGACTTGCAGAGTCAATGCAGCCTGACAGAGCCTATCATTAACTTCTCTCGGAGACGGGCAAACCAACACGTAACTCCAGATAATGAGTTACGGATTCAGCAGGAAGAGAGCACAGGCTTGCTGGACCCGTCCTCCCAGGCAGGTCCTCCCGCTGTGGTGCGCTGCTTCCAGCCCACATACAAGAACGTCAACAACAACCACGTGTAGATCAGAAACTGCAGGGAAGAAGGCCATTCTCCCAGGTCATCTGGGTAAGGTGGTTGTCTGCAGCCACGTGACACTGGGAACTGCCACCGTGCCTCTCGAGGAGGGGGACCTGGCCGATCCCAGAGCTGGGGCTCCTTCCCTGGAGACCCAGCTGTGCCTTTCAGACCAGGAGGCTTCAAGGACCCCAAAGGCCCTTTATCTGCAGCCCACATGACTGAGCACAGCCAAGAAGAAAACTTGAGCATCTTTATCAAACAATCAAGGCCTGTGGTAATAGGAACGTTCCAGTAGCTGCGACGTCAGCCACAGTTTAAAAAAAAAAACAGTGTATGTCAGCCCAACGGCCCACTTCCTGTCCCCACAACCTGACCCCAGCCTCCTCCTGCCTCTCCCACCAGGAGGTTGGAGATACCATCAGTGACTTAGGCAGCCCTGAGAGAGAGCCCAGGACCTATCTAGCACCCACCTCTCAAATGTGTTCCAAAATTCAGTAAGGGCGTGAGGGCAGCCGGGGCCATGCCCTCTCTGGACAGAAAGCAGCAAGAGTTCAGGGGCCCAGAAGTCAGTATGAAGTGATTTCACCTGCGAGTCCTCCCACTCCACTTTCACCGCCTTTCTCTCTCTCAACTGCCTTCCCTGCCACCCTCAGTCTATTTGACTGTGGGTCCCTTTTCACTAGTTCCTTTAGTAAAAATACTTGCCATTTCTAGTCCCTAGTAGGAGCTGAGTGGCCACAACACTGCTTTGATAAATTATGTCAACAAAACCCATCTGTATGCTGAAGTTGAGAACCTGCAGGTCAGAGAATGTCTATGTTATTCGAGGGTTCCCAGCTATTGGCTTGCAGAGTCGGGGCCCAAGCTCCAGCTGTCTGTCCCAAGCTCTTGCTAACCCCACTGCACCCTGCTCAGAGCAGAGCAGCGCATCGCCAAAGCAGCCAGCAGCCCAGGAGGGCCACAGTCCCACCCTGGTGGGAGAAAGCACCTGGCGGGAGAGACAAGCCGTGGGCCTTGGGCACAGCACTTGTCTCTGGTAAGCCTCGGTTGTCTCGCCCAGTAGA